TGCTTTGTCATGCGTTTGTGTTTTCCCAACCACAGTGAAACATTCTCATTTGTCTTAACTGGAGAAGATGGGAGCAGAAGGTTCGGTTACTGCCGAAGACTGCTGGTGAGTACAGTCTGCTTTCAGCCTGCAAGAGCCTCGTGGACAGCCAGGTCTGACTTCCTGGTCCCATGAGACTGAGATTCCCCAATGGGCCACAGGAGGAGAAGGAGCAGGGGGAGTGGCAGCTGAATCAGGATAGTTAATACCGCAGAAAAAAGCTGGCACGGTGGCTCATGCCTATAATCTCAGCACTTTGGGGGGATGAGGGGGACAGATCACTTGAGACCAGGAGTTCGAGACCAGCCTGGGTAACAAAATGAGGCCCCAGCTCTATATTAAAAATGTATACTAAAAAATTAAAAATTAAAAAACAGGAATTGAGGGTGCTCACCTGAGTCTTCTTGGTAGGTGGCAATGTCTGTTTCCATCAGAGAGAAAATACTTTTATTTCATTTTGAGACAGGGTCTCACTCTGCTGCCTGGGCTGGAGTGCAGTGGATCATGTTTCACTGTAGCCTCGACCTCCCCAGCTCAGGTGATCCTCCTGCCTCAGCCTCCCAAGTAGCTGGGACCACAGGCATGTACCACCACACATGGCTAATTTTTAAATTATTTTTAGAGACAGGATCTTGCTATGTTGCCCAGGCTGGTCTCGAACTCTTGGGCTCAAGCAGTCTTCCCACTTTGGCCTCCCAGTGTGCTGGGATTACAGGCATGAACCACTGCAACTGGACAGAAATACTTTCTCCATTATTTTTCCTGCCAAATAAAAGACCTTTCTCTCTTTAAGCAAAATATTTTTTTCTAATAAAACGTGCCAAACAGACCCTGATCACTGAGAGAGAACATTCAGAATGGTTGCTAAGGAGAGAAGACTCAAATAATTCAAGAATGTCCCCTTCAGAAGAATCACCTTTAAAAGTCAGGAACTTATTTCAGTGCAATGATCCTGCTAAAGCATTTTAGAATTGTTATTTTGGGGCCCGTTCTTTTGAAAATCTTCAGTAATGGTGAATCTTTTTCCACTGAGAATATACTTGAGTCCCTGAAATAGGCTGAAAAACTTTAGAGTCAAGTATAATGCATGGCACATAGTAGGTGTTCAAGAAACATTTTTTGAATTAATCAGTAAAATAAAAAGCATGGATAACTGAAAAAGTTAAGTGAGATAATAATTTTGTTGATCAAATTACTTTAGGGTTAAAGTATTGAGATTGAGGTCGGGCACAGGCTCACGCCAGTAATCCTAGCACTTTGGGAGGCCGAGTTGGGCAGATTGCGTGAGCTCAGGAGTTCAAGACCAGCTTGGCCAACATGGTGAAGCCCTATCTCTACTAAAAATACAAAAAAATAGCTGGGCATGGTGACACATGCCTGTAATTCCAGCTATTCAGGAGGCTGAGTCACAAGAATCGCTTGAACCCAGGAGGTAGAGGCTGCAGTGAGCCGAGATCGCGTCACTGCACTCCAGTCTGGACAACAGAGCAAGACTCTGTCTCCAGAAATAAATAAATAAAATTTTTTTTAAGTATTGAGATTGGGCAGGGTGCCGTGGCTCTCTCCTGTAATCCCAGCACTTTGGGAGGCCGAGGTGGACAGACTACGAGGTCAGGAGTTCGAGACAAGCCTGGCCAATATGGTGAAACCCCTTCTCTACTAAAAGCACAAAAATTAGCGGGGCGTGGTGGTATGCACCTGTAATCCCAGCTACTTGGGAGGCTGAGGCAGGAGAATCGCTTGAACCCAGGAGGTGGAGGTTGCAGTGGGCCAACATCGTTCCACTGTACTCCAGCCTGGTGACAGAGTGAGACACCGTCTCAAAAAAAAAAAAAAAGTATTGAGATTGATCTTTTTTTTTTTGGTTTGAAAATGAGCTTAAAATTGAGTTTTCAGAAAGATCTTCAGAAATGATTTCTCACTTGAAATTATCATTATAATAAACATATAGTGATAACAAACAATTGTAACAAACATTATAATAAACACAATGGGATAACAACTTACTTTA